ATGCAGGGAACCCGACGTGGGACTCAATCCCAGGACTCCAGGATCACACCCTGGGCCGAAGGAAGGCACTCAACCGCTGAGCCACCCAGGCGTCCTGACACTTTATCTCTGCTCAAGACTTTTCAGTGATTCTTGGGACGCCTGGGTGGTTCAGCAGTTGAGCATCTGCCTTTGGCTCAGGGCGTGATTCCGGGATCTGGGATTGAGTCCCACATTGGGCTCCCTGCATGGAGCTTGCTTTTCCCTCTGCCTGTGTCTCTACTCTCTCTCTCTCTCTCTCTCTCTCTCTCTCTCTCTCTGTCTCTCATGAATAAATAAAATCGTTAAAAAAAAAAAACTCTTCAGTGATTCTACCAAGTTGAGTGTAGAAACCAGTTCCTCTAGATACTAGTTCTAGCCTACCTTTTTTGTTTAAGATTTTTAATTTATTTGGCAGAGAGAAACAGAGAGAGCACAAGCAGGGGGAATAGCAGGCAGAGGCAGAGGGAGGGGGAGAAGCAAGCTCCCAGCAGAGCAGAGAGCCTGATGTGGGGCTCAGTCTTAGGACTGTGAGATCATGAGCTGAGCTGAAGCCGGATGTTAACTGACTGAGCCACCCAGGGCCCGCAGCCTACCTTTTATTTTTGTTTAAAAATTTTTTTAAAAGATATTATTTATTTATTCATGAGAGACAGAGAGGCTGAGACACAGGCAGAGGGAGAATCAGACTGCCTGCAGGGAGCTCGATGTGGGACTCGGTCCCAGGACTCCATCTTGGGACTCTGGGATCACGCCCGGAGGCGAAGGCAGATGCTCAACCACTGATCCACCCAGGCGTCACCCCAGCCTACCTTTTATATCTCATCTTTCCCAATTCAGCTCATACCTTGTGCTACCTCTTACATTCCTGCCTTTATAAAAACCTCTAGCTCTTACATTCCTGCCTTTATACTTGCTATTCCCCCTATCTGGAGTACCCTCTAGCATTCTGTAAACAAATGCCCCATAAAAAAATGAGGCATTATACCTCCACCTATTGGACCCTACTCATCTGTTAGGAAAGCTGTTTTCATTGCAAATTATGAAAACGCCAACTAAAACTACTCAAACCATAAAGACATTGGTTCATGGAAAAGTCCAGAGGTGGGTCAAGCTTCAGGTATGATTTTATCAGGTCCCTGGCTCATTTTTTCTACAGTGTTTTCTTAGTCCTGCCCTCCTCCATGTGGTGGCTTTTATTCTCTTTATTTCTTTGGCTGGCTTTCCCTTGTGATGGCCGTGAGGGGCAATTTTATGTGTCAGCTTGACTAGGCTAAGGCATGCCCAGATACCTGGTAAAACATTTCTGGGTGTGTCTGTGGTGGTGTTTCTGGAAGAGATTAGCATTTGAATTGGTACACTAACATCACCCTCACTAGTGCAGGTGGGTGTCAGCTAATTTGTTGAACAGAACAGAAGAAAAAGGCAAATATGCTCTTTGCTTGAAATGAGACATCCATCTTCTCTTGCCCAGGACATCGGACATCATTGCTCTTGGTTCTTGGGCATTTGGACTTGGACTGAATTATACCATTGGCTTTGTTGGTTCTCTTGCTTGCAGGCGGCAGATGATGGGACTTCTTGGCTTCTATAACCACGTTACAGACTTCACCCTAAGTGTGAGGCTGATGCAGGGCTCAATCTCATGACCCCAAGATCATCTCCCCTCATGCTCTAATCTTCAGGGACTCTCCTGGACAACACAGTTTTCCTAACACTTCTCTGTTTAATTCATAGTCATTCATTCAACAAATATTTGTTCTAGGGACTGAGGAATGAACAGACAAAATTCTGTCTTTGTGAAGATCACAAAGATGTAGTAGAAAGTGTGGACAGGGCAGCCCAGGTCACTCAGCAGTTTGGTGCTGCCTTTGGCCCAGGGCCTGATCCTGGGGACCTGGGATGGAGTCCCACATCGAGCTCCCTACCTGGAGCCTGCTTCCCCTTTTCCTGTGTCTCTGCCTCTCTCTCTCTCTGTTGGTCTCTCATGAATAAATAAATAATCTTTAAAAAAAAAGTGGGGACAGGAGAGAGAAAACAAACATATTTTAGGTGGTAATAAGTACTATGGAGAAAAATCCAGCTGGAAAGGATACAGAGAAGTAGGGTGTTGCTGTTTTATTTTAAATTTTTATTATTTAAAAATTTTATTTATTTATTTATTTGAGAGAGCGAGAGAGCACGAATGAGCAGAGGGGAGGGAGCAGCAGACTCCCTGCTGAGCAGGGAGCCCCATGTGGGGCTCAATCCCAGGATTCCAGGATCATGACTTGAGCCGGAGGCAGACACTTAACTGAGCCACCTAGGTGCTCTTATTTTATTTTTAAAAATATTTATTTATTTTTGGGAGAGTAAGTGAGCAAGCAGGGGGAGGGGCAGAGAGAGAGAGCATCTTAAGTAGGCTCTCCCCTGAGTGTGGAGCCCGATATGGGGCGGGATCTCATGATCCTGACATCATGACCTAAGCTGAAACCAACTGAGGTTGGTTTGAACTGAAGCTCAGGGCAGCTGGGTTGGCTCAGCGGTTTAGCGTCACCTTCAGCCCAAGGCCTGATCCTGGGGACCCAGAATCGAGTCCCATGTTAGGCTCCCTGCATGGAGCCTGCTTCTTCCTCTGCCTGTGTCTCTGACTCTCTTTCTCTGTGTCTCTCACGAATAAATAAATTCTTTAAAAAAAATTAAAAAATGAACTGAAGCTCAACCAACTGAATCACCCTAGTGCCCCAGCATGTTGCTATTTTTCTTTTTTAAAGATTTGTATTTATTTGAGAGAGGGGGAGAGCCAATGAGAGAGAATATGAGCTGGGGGAAGGGCAGAGGGAAAAAGTAGGCACCTGGCAGAGCAGGGAGCCTGATGCAGGGCTGGATCTTAGGACCAGATAGGAGTATGCCACACATTGCGCAGGGTCTAGTAACAGTGATGTACTAAACCAAAGATTCTTAGTCTTATGGAACTTACCTTCTACTGGGGAAACAGACAAAATCACAGACCAATAAGGGATAAGACTAAGAAATACCATGAAGGAAATGAACAAGAGGCCAACCTAGAAAACATCTTTAGGTGAGGTGTTCAGGAAAGGCCTCTCTGAGGAGGTGATAGTTAGAGACTTGAGGCATAAGAGGGAACTAGAGTTAGAAGAGGTAGGGGAAGAACGTTCCTGGCCTTGGTCTCAGTGTCACTATTTCTCTAATTTTTTTTTTTTTAAGATTTTATTTGGGGATCCCTGGGTGGCTCAGCGGTTTGGCGCCTGCCTTTGGCCCAGGGGGAGTCCCGGGATCGAGTCCCGCTCCGGGGTCCCAGCACGGAGCCTGCTTCCCCCTCTGCCTGTGTCTCTGCCTCTCTCTATGTCTATCATGAATAAATCTTAAAAAAATTTTTTTTTATTTATTCATGAGATACACAAAGAGAGAGGCAGAGACAGAAGCAGAGGGAGAAGCCGGCTCAATGCAGGGAGCCCGATGCAGGACTCAAACCCTGGGACTGCGGGATCATGCCCTGAGCCCAAGGCAGATGCTCAACCGCTGAGGTACCCAGGCGTCCCACTATTTCTCTAATTTGATTTCTCTTCCTTTGGGGCGCCTGGGTGGCTCAGTCGATTAAGTGTCTGCCTTGGCTCAGGTCATGATCCTGGGGTCCTGGAATCCAGCCCCGCATCCAGCTCTCTGCTGGACAGGGAACCTGCTTCTCTCTATCCTCCTTGCTCACGCTCTCTTGTTATCTGTCTCTCCCTCTCTCCAAGTAAATAAAATCTAAAAACAAACAAACAAACAAACAAACAAAAAGAAAAACAGAAAAATGATCTCTCTTCCTTTGAAGGGAGACACGGAGGTCATCAACACAAGCGGAGCTGTAATTGTTGGTCTTGCAGCGTCAGGATTGCATTCAAACTCTGCCCTGTTTAGCAGGTTCTGGGGGTGGCAATGTGAAAAATACAATCGTGAAATCCCAGGTCGGCTTCATGGAAAATTGGACAGTTCTCAGCCTTCAAGGAAGTCTATAGCTGAGGACTGAAAGGCAATGGTCTCCGTGGGCTCTCGAAGACCAAGACCCCTCCGGCTGTTCCGTGGACGCTGGAACATGGCTTTGGGTGAGTTTCCGACAGGAGAAATACTCAGTAGAGAGGACCACCGCCCAGATCGGGTTATAAAGCATTTCCCGCATCCCAGCAGGGTAAAGGTACTTGAATTTAACCTCCTTTGTAGGCGGGAGGGGCACCTCCTTCCCAAACCCAAGCCAACCGCTGCCTCTCCGCCCAGTCCCAGCCTAGGCTGCAACGAGCTAGGCTCGCCCCGTCCACGTACCTGCTTCCCTGAAAAATGAAAGGACCCGGAGCCCCTTCCCACCGCGCCCCTCACGCACTCCTCGGGGGCCGCCCCCCGCCCGCGTGTTTGGGGCCCACCTCCAGGCCCCGCCCCCCGCCTGCTCCAGCCGCCCGACTGGATCCCGCCTTTGGGTCCCGCCTCCTTCGGCTCATTTCCACCCCCCGCCCCCACCCCGGGGCCACCTTTGGGCCCCCTCCTCCCTCCCTGTTCGGCTTCCGGGCCCGCCTCCTTCTGTCCCGCTTCAGTTTTTTTCCTCCTTTCTGGTTCTCTCTTCGGCCCCGCCTTCGGCCTCCTCTCGTAAGGGCTCCGCTTCCCTCAGCCTCGGACTCCTCCTACGGGCACGGCCTCCCTCAAGCCCCACCCACAGCCCCTCCCGTCAAGCTCGGCTCCGGCGGCAGGCTCCGCGCCACGCCTGCCTTCCGCGTCTCTGCTCTCGGGCGTCGCCACCCTCCCAGCCCTGCCCCGCCTTCGGCTCGCTTATTGGTGGAGGAGAGCCTCTCTCTGAGCAGAGCTCTCTCTTTTCCCGCCTTTAGCCCCGCCTTCCAGGCGCCCCGCCCCGGTCCCGCCTTCCTCTTCTCCCCGCCGAAGCTCTGGACTTTTCCAAAGCGAGGCTGAGGGGGTAGGGGGAGCCCAAGCGCTGGGGAAGCCGGGCTAAGTCGGGGTGGGGCTGCGGACTCCCAGCGCTTGTGTCACCGTGTCCTTCTCTGGAGACAAAAGCGGTGCCGTAGAGGGAGGGCCCGGGGCCAGGGCCGGAACGGCGGGCGGGGCCAAGCGGAGGAAAGCCGTTTGGGGCCCCCCCGCCCCCGCGCGCTTCAGTGGTGGCGGCCGAGGGAAGGACTCGCGGCTGCGGGGCTCGCGCCGCTGTCAGTGCGGCGGGGCGCGGGGCGGGCGCAGCCGAGAGCAGCTGAGGGGGCGGCGGCGGCGGCGGCGGCGGCGGCGGCGACGACGACTCCCGCGCGCGTGTGCTCAGCTCCTCACGCCGCGGCCGGGGCCGCCTTCCTCCTCCTCCTCTCCCTCCCTTCCGCCCCGGAGTGCGGCGGCACCGCCTCCTTCCGCGCCGCGCGGCTTCCTCCAGACCTCTCGGCGCGGGTGAGTGGGGGCCACGGGCGTCTCCTTAGGGGTGCGGGGGAGTGTTCCTTGTTCCTTTTCGGCTATCCACCTCTTGGCGCGGGTTGCTGCCTATTTTTAGAAACTCTTTTTTCGGCCATTCTGGGCGTCCTGGGAGCCAGAGTAACTCCCGGCCCCCTCCTCCCGCACCTCCCCCCCAAGCCCCGTGTCGCTGGCCCGGCCCATCCGCGCCTGCCCCCGGCCGCTTCCTCCCCGCGGGCCGGGCCTGGGCCAGGAGTTGGCGGGGTGGGCCCGCGCCCGCTCGGAAGTTGGAGTCTTTGTGCTCGCGCCCCGCCCCGCCCGGCGAGGGGAGGAGGGAGAGGAGCGGAGGCCGCGCGGGGAGGCCTGGGCGGGCCGGGCCCGGGCTCCGGCCCCGGCCGGGGCTCCTTCCGGCTCTCCCTCCGAGGCCGGGTCTTGCCGGCTCCCCAAGGCACACAGAACTGGCCTTGCCTCGCTCCCCCACGGGCCTGAGCGCCGCCTCGGCCCCCACCGCCAACGTTGCTGGGCTCGTTGCACACCTTGGGGCTCGGAGAGGAGCAGCCACGGGCCCTCGAGCTGGTGCGGTGTTCCGCACTTCACGCAGTTCCCAGTGCGGCCGAGCTTCAGTCGGCCCCTCCGTAAGGTGGGGGAAAGAAAGTCGCCTCGCAGGATGTTTGTGGATTTCGGGAACTAATATGGGAGAGAAGTGTCTAATACCAACAGGTAACGTTTAATGGACTTGGTCAGGAACTTCGACGGCCTTCTGGGGTCATCCCCCTTTACAAAAGCAGAAATCAAGGTGCAAAGAGGAAAAATAGTTCACAATAGCCACAGAAGTATAAAGCCGTGGTATTAGTACCTGTTTATTTCTTAGTGTGAACTTGTGTAGGGTCTTAGTGCAGAGGATTTTGAGTTCACCTTGGGTCACTCCTTTTTCCCTGACTCCCAAGCTAGTGTCTACTATACTACGGATGAAAGGATACGAGAGGTCCCAGGGAAGGGAAATTCGTATGAATTACTGATCTCTGGGCCTTTGGCTCAAGGAAGGGTTAAGTCATTTTAACTGAGGTTCTTCCTTTATTTTATTTATGGCGTATCCCTTCTCCCCTAACTTTGTGTGTTCTCTATAGGGTTTATTTTATTTATTTCGTTTTTTTTTTTAAAGATCCTATTTATGAGAGACACAGAGAGAATCAGAGACATAGGCAGAGGGAGAGGGAGAAGCAGGCTCCATGCTGGGAGCCCAACGTGGGACTCGATCCCAGGTTCCCAGGATCACGCCCTGGGCTGAAGGCAGGCGCTAAACCGCTGAGCCACTGGGGCTGCCCTCCATAGGGTTTCGATTTACAGCTCCTAGTTGTGGGGGTAGGAGAAGTGACTCAAGTCAACTGCTTCAACTCCCTACCTTCAAATAGGGTTTTATTTTTTCTATTTTCAAATAAGCCCTAGAGGGCTAAAAGTGAACGAGCTAATACTAATTTTGTCAAGTTTCTAGTTTTCCAGTGTGTTTGATCCCTGTTGAGTTCTTAGGCCACACCTTGAAGGAGTCTCCCGATGTTTGCATTAGTTCTTTGGAGTCTGGAGGTCTGTTGTGCTGCTCTCTTTACAAAATTCTGAATTTAGGTATTGCGGTATGTGGGACCTGGAAGGGGTCTTATCATCTGGTCTAACTTTATCTGCCTTGTCCCCTTACCCAGTTAACACTGGAAGAAAGTTGTCCGCATTCACAGACTGCTTTGGTGACAGAATCAGAACTAGAATTCCCAGTCTTCTGCTTTGCAGTCCAGTAATAGTTTTATTTCTACCATCCCTTGCCGCTTTGAAGGGGAGTACTAAATTACTTATTCAGGCCTTAAGAGACCAGAGACCAGGAATCCTGAGTAAATGGAAATCTCGAGAAAGTTGGTTAGTTCCAGCCATTCTATGTCTTAGGTTTAGCATTAAAAGGAGGGCAGGTTTTGTGCACAGGTGTACCAGTTCTCATTAGTATTTAGTGTTATCGTATGGCTTATATTACTCTTTTGAAATCATCTGATTTCTAATCCAGTTCTATGAGGGAGTTCTTAGACTTTGGTTTACATCTCCTTTTTACAGCTGTAATTGAGAATTGAGACACAGAAAGGTTGGGGCACTTGCGTTACTTAGGTCACCAGATTAAGAAGTGAGGACAGCACACCTATCATGGGTAGAGGATTTGATGTAGCATCATTAACTGAGCCACTCATTGTGGCCCTGTGAACCTTTTTGCTTTTCTGTAAATTCACAAGGTTGTGTGGAGACTGTGAGAAACGGCTGTGAAAGTCAAATGCAGCGGTAGAAATAATAGCCTTTTTTTTAGCTTTTTTTTTTTTTTTAAGATTTTATTTATTTATTTAAGAGTGCCAGAGAGAGCACCAGCAAAGGGGAGGGGGCAGAGGCAGAAGCAGAAGCAGACTCCCCACTAAGCAGGGAGCCAGATGTGGGGCTTGATCCTAGGACCCTGGGATCATGACCTCAGTTGAAGGCAGACCCTTAACCAACTGAGTCATATTATGGTGCCCCATAATAGCTAATGTTTATTAAGTACTTACCAGGTACCAGTTCTTGGAGTAAGGACTTTCTATGGGGTATCTCATTTATTTCTCAGAGCCAAATGTATGAATTGGGTATTATCTCTGTTTTACAGAGGAAGAAACAGGCTTAGATAGGTTATATGACTTGCTCAGTATCATGCTATTGATAATTGCAGACCATATATTTTTATTTATTTATTTGACAATATAATTTTAAAGCTGGGGTGTTGTTTTTTTTCCCTTTCTTCTGGGTAAAATGTGCATGAGGTAAAATTTGCCATTTTAACCACTTTTAAATGGACAGTTCTCTGGCATTAAGTACATTCACACTCTTGTGCAACCATAACCACTCACTATCCTTGTTTAGAACTTTTTCATCTTCCCCAGCTGAAACTCTCTACCCATTAAACACTTAACTCCCTAGTCCCCTCTCCCTGTAGCCTCTGACAACAACCATTCTATTTTCTGTTTCTGAATTTAACTACTTTAGGTGCCTCATATAAGTGGAATTATACATTTTTTTTTGTTCTTCAGTGACTGGCAAAGCTGGCACTTTTAGTGCTTCCCTTGACCTCGGGATGCTATGTAAATGCAAAATGATTATTCCTTATCTGCACTGGGGTGTGGCATGCTGCTCCAGAGCAGAAACAGAGGACTGTTTGTACCTCTGGTTAAGCTCTTTTCCCCCCTTTGCCTCTACTTTGTGGATTGAAGTTCCTTATTACAGCAGCCTTTATTGGAGATCTGTGCTTGCCCCTTTTGTATCTTCCAGAGAGACCTCCTACCCTTGAAATAGAACCCAGAGGACTCTCCACCCTTCTTTGCACCTGCCTTTCCGACTATTCAGGATTTGCGCGTATCGGGCTGCAGTGATCAAGAATAGCAGTGCTATGACAGCAGCTCGGATCAGAACTACTCACAGGATGATTAAATGGATTACCTTTATGAAATATGCTCTCTCTACCCTCCTCTTTCCATAAAGTCACACAAGAGGGATTAGCTATGGGTTCCTAGAGGGTGTTAATGGGTACTCATTGCTTGCAGGTGGTTAAAATGGAGTTAAATGTATTTAGCCTTTTTTTTTTTTTTTAAGATTTTTTTTATTCATTCATGAGAGACCCACACACAGAGAGGCAGAGACAGACACAAGCAGTCTCCATGCAGGGAAACCCCAATATGGAGCTCAATCCCAGGACTTGAGATGATGACCTGAGCTGAAGGCAGATGCTTAACTGACTGAGCCACCTGGGCACCCTAGAAAACGGTACCTTTTTTTTTTTTTTTAAGATTATTTATTTATTCATGAGAGACAGAGAGAGAGAGAGGCAGAGACACAGGCAGAGGGAGAAGCAGGCTCCATGCAAGGAGCCTGATGCGGGACTCCATTCCGGGACTCCAGGATCATGTCCTGGCCGAAGGCAGGTGCTAAACTGCTGAGCCACCCAGGGATCCACTGCATTTAGCCTTTCAAAACTCCCTTAGGTTTGACTGTTTGTTTCTGTATATTTGGGAGGTGGTGGAATGTATTGTTTATGAAGGGTTGTTGGAATTTTGTCCTGAAAACCAACAGGGAGTGGAGGTGGGAGGTGTTCCAGAGATGGGTAATTGGGCAGCAAACAGATCTGAGCATGTTGGGTTTTCCTTAAAGATCTGATGGCCCTACATTGCCTATGTATTAAGTCCAAACCCCTGAGTGTGATAATGAGGTCCGAATGTGTTGAATTGTTTGTTGGACAGGATCTTGTAGTTGAGGGGTTTTAAGGTCTTGCCCACCAGCCAGCCATCTGGCCAACATTTGAATTGGCTACTTACTGAGATTCGATTTCATTGGACACTTCATTATTAGAAAGTTTTCCATTTACAGAAAAATTATTAAGCATCTGCCATGCACAGCCCTAAGCTTGGTGATTTGAGTCTATAATAGCCTTGTGGGGAAGCCAGGCAAGGAAACCGGTAACGTGACAAGTGTTGTGAATGGGGATAAGCACTGTTAGAGCGTAGAGGAATGGTAACTAACCCAGCCTTGGAGGCTTCTTCAGAGAAGTTGGCTAAGCCCAGATCTCAAGAAAAATAGACATAAGGCAGGAGGAAAAGAGATTTGGAGAGTTGAGGAGGAGACTGACTAGGCAGAAGAAATAGCAAGTCTAAAGATGGTGAGGGTGTAGTAGTTGAGACTTTTGGGCATTTCTTATATCAGGTGCTACTCTAAGCATTTAACATGTGCTAATTAATTTCTTGTTATGGCCACCCCAAGAAGTACATACTATTATTTCCATTCTGTAAGTGAGGAACAGACCCAGAGGGGTTATTTATTTATTTATTTATACCCAGAGGGGTTAAACACATTTCCTGTTTCTCAAGATTGCTGGGGGGAGGGGTGCCTGGGTGGCTCAGCGGTTGAGCATCTGCCTTTGGCTTAGGGCATGATCCCTCGTGATCCCTGGGTCCACA